CGTCACTCACACTCACCATTGGATTGCGTAACGAGCCTCGGGTATGGTTAGTTGGAGACTCAATGGTGCACTGGGCAGATCTTCTGGCTAAAGAACGGCGGGAACGAAACCTCGGCCTCCCAGTTCGAACCACGTGGAGTAAGAAGCGCGGGATTACGTCAGCAACTCTCTCCATGCAGTGGACTCACCCACGGCAGCAGTTATACCATGAGTGGGAACGGACCCTCTACCCAATGTCCACGGTAGCGATTAAAAGCGAGTACGAGGTTCGGACATTCTCCCTCGAATAACACTCTCCCTCGGATAACACTCTCCCTCGACCAACACTCTTGGTTATATACGATTCTTTCTCCATAGCTTTGTTAAGCTAACGTTAAATCGCCATGTCCCGCTTTCCCGTCCAGTGATATCGTTTCGTTAGTGATTTTTGGCTGTGGATTTTATGTAGATCTTAACATCGGGTTATAAAGTTTAAACGGGGCTATGGTAAATCAGTATTATTTTTCTCGTGTACAGTAATAATGATTAAATATCAATAGTAGAGTTACTGTATCTTCTTAATGACTATGAGTGGTTATTTATGCCACTATATGTTCTCTATTGCTTCTTCGTCTTCCGTATTTGAGGTTTGAACTTCCGTACATGGATGATAGTGCATAATGTAGTAATTGGGTTACTGGTTTAATAATGGCTTAAATTGCATTCAACAGTTGACTCAGCACGATTACCCTACTCTAATGTTACGAGGATAGTTTACATTCGTGTAAGCATGTTGTAGGCACTATGATATGCGATATATATGGCGGCGAGTTGCGTCACATCTCGTTTGGCGGCATTCTTGCGAATTTGGACGACTATAAAACTAGAGCAAGCGGTCTGTTAGGAAGGGGAGACAAAATTTGGTGTTTTTAGAGGACTGTTTTTATTGCCGTATTTATACAATTTTACGAGCCTGACTTGTCCGTAAGCTGGGGTTACAATCAGTATTGCCCAGGTTCTTAGCGGGAAGTCGTTTGGGCTCATCACGTTTTCGGTTGGGGTACGTGGGGGGGGGGGGGGGGGGTGAGCGGGACCCTGTCCGTTGAAGCTGAGATTGCCTGGCTTATGCCGTGTGTAACGCTCAGGGTTTCCGGCGGGAAGTCATCTTCGCTCACCCATGCCTCTTGTCTGTGCAAAAAGCCGCAAGAGATGGGGGAAGCCCGTTCGCATGGCCAGGCGAATGGAAGAATTGTTACGGCTAGTCAATTGATATTACTTTGTCGCCCGGCCGGGCCCCCTATTGGTTCCTTACAGATCGCTCTCGACATAATTTGCTCGAAGTATGAGTTACATTCATTGTTATTTGTTTTGTTTTAATTAGATTTACTTTGCTGACCAGTTTGATTGAAAAAGAGTTAATTTATGTTAATCAGCTCTCAATAAAGACCATGGTCAATCGCACATACAAATACAATTTTGTTGACTTCTTTCTTTGTCTCAGAGTGGGAATAATTAACATTGTTAAACTTTTGTAATAAAGTATTGATGAGGGGGACAAAGCATCCGTGTCTTTTTATTAACGTTTTCTTGTCATAACAGTCTTTGCTGGGATGGACATGAAGATGGGTCTAATTACTGAATTTGTGGAATTTCTGTGCGATCTTTATAACTGATTCCCTGTTGTATCTCATTCAATCTTAATATTCTATGTATATTTTATGGCCTACTTCCTCAAAACCAAATAAACATTAAAACATCAACCGATATAAAATATCGAAAAATGATAGAAGTTAATATATGCAAACCTGATCACAAAATATAAGTTTCAAATTTATTTTCCACATTGTATTATCCTCAGGACATGTACGAAGTACAATACACAGTCATTTATAAAATATAAGAGACAAGCCCAGTAGCTTACATCTTGACATTTTGTGTGATAAAGTGCGGAGATATAATGATGGCACCAATTTTCCCCCTACATTTTTTTTGTACCTGACATTTTCTTTGTATCTCTGACATTTTTACCTTCAACATTTTTTCCTCTGACATTTTTACCTCTGACATTTTTACCTATGACATTTTTACATATGACATTTTTACCTCTGACATTTTTACCTCTGACATTTTTACCTCTGACATTTTTACCTCTGACATTTTTTCCTCTGACATTTTTACCCCTGACATTTTTACCTCTGACATTTTTACCTCTGACATTTTTACCTCTGACATTTTTACCTCTTGACATTTTTACCTCTGACATTTTTACCTCTGACATTTTTTCCTCTGACATTTTTACCCCTGACACTTTTACCTCTGACATTTTTACCTCTGACATTTTTACCTCTGACATTTTTACCTCTGACATTTTTACCTCTGACATTTTTTCCTCTGACATTTTTACCTGGCACCGTTTCAATGGTAGAGTCTGTATGGTGAATGGTGTTTATATGGTGTAATTGTGTGGTCAATGGTGTTTCAATGGTAGAGTCTGTATGGTGAATGGTGTTTCAAAGGTGGAATTGTATGGTGAATGGTGTTTCAATGGTGGAATTGTATGGCCAATGGTGTTTCACTGGTAGTGACTTTGGGAAAACTAGGTGTCCCTTATACTTTGAACTACAATTTGCTATGTGATTTCGCTTTATTTCTCGCGAATTTTTCTTCATGATCAACGTTTCAAAGCTGACAAACTGCAAGGAATAATACCCTAGTCCTCAGGAACAATGATGGATCTTTAGTTTTCTCTTCAATTTGGAGTAATTTTTGATCTGATATGTGTCTCTTTACTGTAAGTAACTGCTGTTTTGTGCCTGTTGTCCCACTCATATGACTCTGTGATGTACATTATTATACATTTGCTTACATGAACATCTGTTATTGTTAATTAAAGCAGCTATAAATCATTCTATTTTATTCCAAAAAGAAATAATATTACAGTATAATGGGCACACCTTTAAAACTTTTATCAAGTTATTTATTTGATCGTAAACAATTAACAATTATTAATGAAGCTGCCCTTACAGAAAAATATTAAATTGTATACCAATGGTATACCATTCGGAAGTACCACTGAAAAAAACCATACGGATACCATTCACAAACACCATTTAAATACCATTCGGATACCATTGATATTACCATTCACCATCCAACATTGGCCTACCATTCAACATCCACCATTGGCCTACCACGCCAATGGTGAATGGTAGATTAATGTTACCAAATTTGCATATTTCATATTAAAATGTCAATAGTGTAAATAGTACCATTCATCTACCATTGGTGATTATGCAAATGAGCGTCCAAAAAAAATATTATTAGGTTGAATGGTATTTCACTGGTAGATGAATGGTGCCCGTTCAAGCGTAGCGAGAGTAATCTCAATAGTATCCGAAAGGTATTTAAATGGTGTTTGTGAATGGTATATGTATGGTATTTGCAGTGATACTTCCGAATGGTATACCATTGAACATTTTTTTGTAAGGGCCCGATCTCTCACTTCTTGTTGTCATTGTCTACTCTTTGTATTATGACCGTGTTCTTCTATTTTGTTCATGTCAAGCATTGTCTTGTCCCTTTCTCGTCTCTGTTGGCATCCCCCATTCCCCTCTAGTTTGTAGTTCCTTTCGTAGTTTTGGACTTGTTAAGTTAATTACTCATTATTCCTAAGTATCATTTCAGGTGTTCACACTTGTACAATATTTGCTTTTTAGTGTACCCCTCTCTGTATTCAACATGAATTTCTACATTTGTTTTAAATGCTTTTAATTGATTTGTAATGTTTTGTTTGAAACATTAATAAATTGAAAGTGAAAATTGAAAAATTGGAGAAAAAAAAAATTATAAAACGAGTTTTGTGGTAATCACAATTTCAAATCTGTTCTTGAAAGTACATTGCACCCTTTTTTCCATGTGTCTAATCGAAATTAGGAAGGGTGTATTTTGTTTTATTACTGCACCAATAGGTGAGACACCCTGATATCAGTTGTCTCCAGTTTCGCTCTTGAGGACTCTGAATTAAGAAATACCTCCAAGAAATTCCTCACCAATGACTAAATTTTTTTTAATTTTGTATCTTCGTGTCCGATTTTAGATGAGCAAAGTGCACTGGCTTTACATAAAAACTGTACGTATGAAAGTATGTCATTTGCTTTGACTTATGATTTAGCTGTTTCGCACATACTCCCAGTATAGCCCAGTACGCGGGCACAAGTATAGCTGTTCACTCCGTCAGTATAAGTTCCTCGATTCATACAAGATTCAAGAGCACAATCGTCGATATCTTTTCTTTATTTGGCGGATGACAGAAACATGAAGTCAAAACTGATATTCTACATGCAAAACAATGAAAGTTGAGGAATTTGTTAATTCATACATAGAACCCACAAATAAATATGTTAAATGTGATAAAGTAACTGAATATTTGTTTTGAATTTCGTATTTTTTCAAAAATGTTAGCCTTAGATAGCAAATATATTCTTAATAAAATGTATTTTTGATGAAGTTTCATGTGCTCCTGCAAGAAAAAAGGGAAAGGAAACCAAAAATCTTCCATTTCGAGATTACAAATCATCCAATGGACGGTCTTAGTTTGAAGACACCTTAGGACCAACAGTTGAATCTGTATGAGAAGGATGAACAATGCTGCTCTTATTGTACCCTTAATTTTCTCATATTTATTGAGATCCCTGTGGGAAACACAATATCAATGCTGTTTTTAAATGACGTTGCACTCCTATTATCGATATGTCTACTCGAAAGCAAAATAAGAGTAGTTACTTTCATTACAGCTCCAAAATATTCAAAACACCCTAGCGTCTTTTGCCTTTACTCTCACTTCTGTTGACTCTAAATTATTAAAGAACATTTTCAAAGATTTTTCACTGCAATTACGTGATTTTTGTTCTTTTTTTGCTACCCTTTATCTATAATTTTGAAATAAGCAAGGAGGTATTGCATTACTCAAACAATGTATTTATGTATTTAGGCATGTAATTTGATTCAACCTCATAGCTTACCTGTTTCACACCTAGTCCCAGTATAGCCATCAGCACAAGTACAAGTATATGAGTTTACTTCATCAGCGCAACGTCCTCCATGCAAACAAGGAGCGCTAGCACATTCGTCGATATCTGTGTAAATTGAGTTTTAAAAACAATAAGTGTGATAAAGTCATGAGAAAACAGTTTCCTTTTTGATATATTTTTCTTTATTTAGCGGATGACAGGAAAATGATGCCAGAACTGATATTCTACATGCAAAATAATGATAGTTAAGGAATTTGTTAATTCTTACATGAAACCCATTACTAAATATATTAAATGAGATAAAGTAACTAAATATTTCTTTTTGATTTTTGTAAATGAAAACTACAAACAATCAACAAGAAATTAAAAAAATTGTGCACACAAAAATTGATTGGAAATGTCACTATTCATTGCTATTTTGTCATAAAAGTTAAATGTCTATTTAAGATTAAGAGCATTATGGATGAAAATCAGTTTAAAGATGACACAAAAAGGTGGCACCAAATTAACAATACATTATTACCATTGCAAGCGCTGCCATCGCCGTCTAGTTCATATCCAGAATTACATGAACAGACGTAAGAGCCGCCTGAGTTCTCACACATTCCATTTGCAGAATCACAGGGCGATGAATTCACGCATTCGTCCACATCTGGGTAAAGTAAAACATTTAATTACCAATTCAATTCAAATTCAAATTTTTCAATTCAAAAGACTTTATTTCCGTTAAAAAAACATACAAATATATACATGTGATAAAGTACAGACAGTTTAAAATATACAAATCATGAGCATTACGTTAAATTAATTTAAACACACTGTGAAAATGAGTAGAAGGAAAAGGGAGCACCTGTAGAAAGCTTATGTTAGCTTGTTGATTCAGGCGTCCAAATGAATAAAATAATTACACAGATATAATAACATAATAATGAGTATGGCGCATGTATTTGGTCTATCCCTCCCTCCCTCCCCCTCCCCCTTCTTTCTCTCTTATGGTAATTTAAAAATTGTAATTTATTTAAAAATAGGTATTAAACTAAAACAAATAATAGGGATAATAGATATATTTTAAGATTTTTCTTGAATGAGTTTAAGTAAACATATTGAGTGAGAGAGGATGGAAGAGAATACCATTAGCATTTAAAAGTTGTATAAAGTCTAGATAAATCAGCTTTCCTCTTAATTTGCCATCAATTATTTGTAGTTTTACCCGCTCGAAGAGCATGAAAGTGAAAACGAATGTGCAGTGACGGTTTGTAAATGAAAACTACAAACAATCAACAAGAAATTAAACAAATTGTACACGAACAAATTGATTGGAAATGTCACCATCCATTGCTAATTTAAAAGGTTAAATTTCTATTCATGATTAAATCGTTATTATCAATGGAACAGTGTAATGTACTGTAATAGAAGTTGACCTTAATTTTAAAGTGTCTTTTGGACTTCATGATCATGTACTACTTGCATTTAAGTCTGAGCATTATGGATGAAAATTAGTTTAAAGATGTCACAAAAAGGTGGCACCAAATTAACAATACATCCTTACCATTGCAAGTGTTGCCATCGCCGTCTAGTTCATATCCAGAATTACATGAACAGACGTAAGAGCCACCTGAGTTCGTACACATTCCATTTGTAGAATCACAGGGCGAAGAAAGCAGGCATTCGTCCACATCTAGGTAAAGTAAAACATTTACTTACCATTAGCAGTTACAAGTTTTCTAAACGTTTAGATAAATCAGCTTTCCTCTTGAATTGCCATCAATTATTTGTAGTTTTACCCGCTTAAGGAGTATAAAGGCGAAAACGGATGTGTAGTGACGGTTTGTAAATGAAAACTACAAACAATCAACAAGAATCTTTAAAGTTTGTACACGAAAAAAATGATTCGAAATGTCACCATCCATTGCTAATGTTAGAGGTTGAATTTCTATTCATGATTAAATCCTTATTATCAATGGAACAGTGTTATGTACTGTAACAGAAGGTGACTTTAATTTTAAAGAGTCTTTTGGACTTCATGATCATGTCCTATTTGCATAAAAGTCAGAGCACACTCCATTTGCATAGAGCGTTGTATCCTGGCATTCGTCCATATCTAGGGAAAGTAAACATTTTGTTCACCCATATCAGTCAAGAGTTTTCTTAAGTTCAAAATGAATTAGCTTTTCATCATGAATTGGCAACAATTAGGCGCATCTCCATGCTCTCTTTCATGGAGTAAAACAGTTTTTTTAAAAAGTCAAGTGAAATTGTGATTATACACTGTTGTTCATAATGGTGAAATAATTATTTTTACCCCAATGATTTATTCCTAATAGATCTAGATAAAATTATACATTCTCAGATTTGTATTGAATGACCATTGAGGAGTGTTTGTTTTACGTGACTGCGTTAATCGTTATCATTAATGGCAGAGTGTACTGTACTTTAATAGAAGTGGATTTAAATTTCCTACTGACTTTTGGAATAAGATCATGTAGAGCATTCTGGATCAAAAGACTGTTAAAGATGGCACTTAAAAGTAAAATGTGACACTAGTACTGAGTAGACTACCAGATCTAATTTGACTTCACATCCTTACCATTGCAAGCAGTGCTATCATCGTTTAATTCATATCCAGAGTCACACGGGCTACAGCTGTAAGAGCCAGGTGTGTTCGAACACATTCCATTGACACAGAGCGTTGTATCCACCATGCATTCGTCAATATCTAGGAAAAGTAAACATTTTTTTCACCCACAGCATGCAGTCAAGAGTTTTCTCAAGTTCTAATTGAATCAGTTTTTCATCTTAAATTGGAACCAATTATTTGTATCTCCATGCACTCTAGAATCTAGACTAGATGTAAATCTAGAGAGTAAAAAAGTAAAAATGAATGTCAGTCAAATGAAATCGTGAACAAATGCTACGAAACATCAACAAGAAAATGTCAAGTTGTAAACAAAAATAGTAATAAGTCTATACATTTTACTCTCAATTGCTAATTTAGAAAGTTAAATGTCCATTTCAGATTTAATAGTTTTCATAAATGGCAGAGTGTATTTTAACAGAAGTGGATTTAATTTTCTTACTGACTTTTGGACTAAGATCATGTAGACCTACAACCTGTAACAGGTGTTAGAGCAAGGAGGTATTGCATTACTCAAACAATGTATTTATAACAGTATATCTTTTCAAAATGAACAAATTTGTGTTCACTTTTCCTCAAAATTTAATCAAACTGATTCCTTGATTTTTCTTTCACATCTCCACACACTACTACCCACATATCTGACTTATCGATCTCTGTTCTATTTACATACGCTCTCCTGTCTCTTCATTCAATTATCATTAGAACATGAAGGAATGGCGGTCACTCTAGACAAATAATTGAAACAAATGAAAACAAGATATGCAAATGTATTATACAATTTAATATGTATACAACTGAATAAAAATAAATATGACTGTGTAAAAATCTATTACTATTACGAAGATAAATTTATCCTCATTAAACTGTGTTAACTAGGATAAATTTATCCTCATTTAGCTGTTAAATGAAGATAAATTGAGATCACAGCAAATCCAATCTCGGCGCAAAGGTGTATTGAGACGCATACCATGAATATGTAATCTCGTATCCATTATCAGCTGAATGAGGATAAATTTATCTTCATATAACAGCTAAATGAGGATAAATTTATCTTCATTTAACAGCTAAATGAGGATAAATTTATCTTCATTTAACAGCTAAATGAGGATAAATTTATCTTCATTTAACAGCTAAATGAGGATAAATTTATCTTCATTTAACAGCTAAATGAAGATAAATTTATCCTCATTAAACTGTGTTAACGAAGATACCGGAAAGCGAAAGTCACCACAGTGAACTCGTCTTCTTCTTCGTCGTCGTAGCCATCTCGACGAAGGCGAAACTAACTCTGGCAGGTTCCGAAGTCAATGAAATCAAATTCAAAACGCGTTATCAAAGGAAAATGAAACAGATTACCGCGAGTGACGACGTCGAATCGAAGAGCGACCTGTAATCTGGTGTTGGCCCGTACGTGTACTATATGGTTTTTGTTGTTGTTCTTAATTGTCCAGACTCTGTATAAAGTGTATAGGCGGCCAGATCACACGCATCTCTGTTTACAAACAACGGATACATGGCCGCGCTCGGCTACTGTTCTCTCTGTTCTCTCTTTGGTTGTAGCTAGTCTGCAGACACAGACCCTTGACAGCCATTATGAGTAAAAACAATGTCTAAATTTGAAACGTGAAAGTACTGAGTTATGTCATGTAGCTGCTTCTGACACAGTGAAATACTGAAAAAGAAACATAACGCATCGAGCATAATCTGATTCTCCTGATTATTTCATGTGTCAAACTTATAAGTGCTCTGTACACCATAATAAGTGATTTCGAGGAACTTCCCCAGTTTGTTCCAGTTAGACATCTTAAGATATTTAATTTTCTTTTACTTTCGATATGTGGTTGCCAAGTTAACCTTTTATCAAATATAACCCCTAAAAAGCGATGAGATTTTTCGTACATTAGCACATTTCCATTCAGTTCTATATCAGGCGGTAGAACGGCATTCCAGCTTTTCGTAAAACATACGGGCACTGTTTTGACGGGTGAGAGTCGAAACCCCCACTCTTCAAACCAACAAATTAAAATATTCAAATATTTCTGTATTCTTTCAGTAATATGTACAATGTTCCTGCCTGATATCCATATTGCGCAGTCATCTGCATACATAGATATTCTTACATCTTGGTCTGTCGGTATATCACCCATCATTATATTATATAAAAGAGGACTTAAAACACTCCCTTGTGGTAACCCGTTATGCGTTTTATAAGTTTTAGATTCTGTATTTCCAATTCGTACTTGGTCAATACGGTATCTTGCAAAAATCTTGGAAAAAACAAATGACTTTCACGTTTCGCTGAAACAACACTAGCTTGACTTTTTTTTTCTTCTTTATAGTCCAGCATATCATGCAATGTGCTTATTATGCGTATACTTTTGGCATATTTGGAACAGAAGTAGTCTATATATCGTATTCCGTGGGAATTAGTAACTGATCACCGTGACCGAGTTTTGACTGTGAATGTGAGTGTGACTGTGTGGGCTTCACTGAGACTGAGACTGAGTGAGAGTGACACTCGCACTGTCACTATACTGTACCGCAGTGTTAGACCATAAGTGATAGGTCCTAAAATCATTGATTGTAGGTCGTTCAAACTGGCAGTCTATAGTATAAACAGTTTTACTGTACATCGCTTGTCGTAGGTCATAGACAAGAGCTCTCAATAAACAAAGTTTACATATTTGGTCGTATTCTGCACTTGTTCCCAGGCAGTAATTTATTTTTTCCGTTGTAATGTTAATTAGATCTAGATCTACATGTATGATGGAGGGACCTGATTAAGCTACGCACTTTGTTTTCAGCAGCTGAAAAGTCACAAAAATCATTGGTTTGTCCAAATTTCATTCCATCTCTTGATTTTACATACCGCTATTCTAAAGATAATTTGTGGAGAAAATTACGACGGGTGAATGCCAGTTATAGACCCTCTACACATTTTCAGGTCGATATCAAGGCCTATGTCAATTTTTGTTCAGAAAAATGAAGGGGTCCTAAAGCTACGCATATGCAATAAATTAATGCAAATCTTGATATTGAAAGTGACTGAAAGTATCGGTGTTTGAACGCGTCGCATTGCGCGTGTATGTGATTTGTATGGTGCGTAACTTTAGGACCCGCGTAGCTTTAGGACCCCGACCATAATGTAGTCTGCCATAGGGTAAGGGTTAGTCTACCATCATGTTATCAGTATTTATTGCACATGTTTGTCTCTTTTGCAGGAACTTCTTCCAAAAGGATATAAATACAAGTTTCCTGAGAGCCCGACATATTCCAGTGTGTCAGACTTCAAAGCTGTGATACGGACAACCATTGAAAGTGAAGACAAAGCTGAACAATGGCGAAAAGATTTTCAGGAAAATTGTAAAATGACATGGAGATTGCATTCAGGAAAGGTTGCTAAGGGAAAGGTGAATGTGTACAAACGGTACTTTTGATGTCATCACAATACCATGGCTCGTTCTGAGAGTGCTGATAAGAGGATGGCCTCAAAAAACACAAACTGCCAGCTACAATGATCTTCAGGGTAAAGAGGACACAGTTCAAGAAGAAGAAGTCACGGTATGTTTAAAATTCAATGTATGCACAACAGACAGACACACCACTAATAATGAAGAACTCGCTTTTCCAATACTGTTGAAGATATTTGTATTTTCACAGAACGACACCCCCCCCCTCCAATTCTGTTTTTGATTTTGACAATTCTTGGCATTGCAGAATGACATTTGTGCACTGTCATTTTTAAATTTAAAATTCTCTGGCATCTAGATTTTTGACATTTAAGTCATTTTAACAAATTATTTCTTATTTCGGGGATGATATTTCCATTTTAACTGAAGATGATATCTGAAATCCTGTATATTTGCATATGCAAATGTGCATTGCGGAATGACACACAAAAGTATTTATTTTTTTCTTTTTCATGGCAACATTTTGCAAAAAATCTGAACTTGGTAGACCTGTTTGCTTTTTATGTTTATGATTTTTAACTTTTATTTAGTTAGCCTGTTGTTGAAATACTTTAAAAAGCACTTTCATCTTTGGTGGGAATTGTCCTCCGCAAAGTTTTCAGGTGGGAATCATCCGCGGGGTAGTTGTTTTGATATGGAGTCATTTATTGCAATACAACATACAACATTGCTTCAGTGTGATAATCTTGCATACTTTTTTTCTTCTGGCAGTGCTACTGTTCCTGATCCCTACCTTCCTGAATACCCATGTCAGATTGAAATCAACAACAACCATAGCCACCTCATCCATACGGGAACGTGATGTGTCAGAGGAAACAAAGATGAAATTGCAAGAACTCTTCGAAAAAGGCCATTCACCAGCATCAGCTCTAGAATCAATCAAGACAGACATGCAAATCTCTGAAGGCAGCAACTATGCCTTTGCTGCTGCTGATAGGGCAATTTGTCCTGATACTGGATATTGTTTCAGGTAATGCACATTAAGTTCCATTTTCCATAACTTGGGGGAGTGGGTATCTGCCATTGAAACGTGTGCAGCATCCTTGTAGAAGAAAACGTGGGAAAAGGATATCATTTTCATGATCCTGTTCGTTACGTGCATAAAAATAGGAAAATAACACATTCCAATATTTTTTCCTGTTAAGGATATCCAACAATAGTTGAAATATTCTCCATGTATAGGGTATCAAAAAGCAATGTAACATCTTCCTCCCTTTTTAGGGTATAAAAACAAAATCTCAAATGTTCTCCCTGTTTAGGGTATCAAAATCAGATAATCTTTATCCCCTTTTAGGGTGCTTTTCAGAGGATTATCCACAAGGATTCTGTACAGGGTTCAATGGTAGACCCCCCCCCCTTTTCCCCTGGGACTTGTAATTGATAGATTCAGTTTTGCTGCTTTATTTGACTGCTGCCCTATGGAGTAATGCTTCAATCTGGGTATTGACTCTGCATCACTGTGTCCAATTTTGTCATGAGACCTAAAGTCACCTAATGCTATCTGATGCTCAGCTCTCATTTAAATATCTTTGTTTTCGTCAAGCCCTGCGAGATGGAGGAAGACTAAGTGATCAAGATGAACGTACATGTCTTTTTTTTTTTTTTTTTTTTTTTAGCAATGAAAATGAATAGTAATGCATGCAAGGAACACCTCAAATTTTCCTCGGTAGAAAAACATCGGGAAGTGGTCTTTCTTGGATGGTAGATATCACACAGGGCGGTGAATGTCATCTCAAGTTCAAAGGTCACCAACAGGGGTCAACAAACGTTTGGAGAACTATGTTCAATTTCACCTGAGAATTTTCTTTAGGCCTATGGTTCATCCATAGTAACTTCGCAAACATGGGCAGAATACCTTATGGCTATCGCCTTGTTTAAAAGTATGATTTATGTAAAAAGTTAACAAAATATAATTTTAGCTTATGACAGTTGATAATGCATTGTCTTGCTGCTGTTAAATTTGTTGATGAACTGACGTTTTAAGATATTCTTAATCATTTTCAGGCTATACTACAAAATATTTTCCAAGTCATATGGTGCTCCAAGCGGTGAACAAATGGTGAAGGACCTTGAGCATCACATCAACGAGTTCAACCTGGAGAAAGGGGAAGATTGTGCACGTGTAACAACATTTGGGAAGGACCTAGTGGTGGCTTTATGCACTCCATTAACCCTTTGCCTACTGGAACCGGGTAGACGCTGTATTAAGCCTATGGGAATGAGATAATTAAGTCGTCAACAAGTTAATGAAACGGGCACATACGTTGATACCTCAGAGTGGAGAGATCGTCTTTATTGATGCTAGTGGTGGACTTGACCGCCATCACTGTAGAATTTTCCTCCTCTTGACTCATTCATGTGCTGGTGGTGTACCCCTCGGGTGTTTCATAACAACCTCAGAATCTCGAGATGTCATTGGTGCTGGATTGAATCTCCTCAAGGATGTACTACCAAGTGGTGCATTTGCTGGCAGAGGCCCTGATGGTCCAGAGGTTTTTCTAAGTAGTGACTCAATTGCAGAGCGTGGAGCAATTGGAGATATTTACTAGAAGTCAACCCTGTTGCTGTGTATCTTCCATTTGCTGCAGGCTAATTGACGGTACCTATGGGATGCTAAGAATGGGATTGCAAAGCAGGACAGACCCCATTTACTTTCAGTTTTGAAGATGATGGTGTATGCTGATTCTTCAGATACTCTTCAGCAGACATACAACAATGCATTACAAGATGAAGTAGTGCTGAAGTATGAGTCCTACATGAAGCATTTACAGGGCATTTATGACAGGAGAAATGACTGGGCTGTGTGTTTGCATGAAGAACTACCAGTTAGAGGCAATCATACGAACAATTACGTGGAGGCGGCCATGAAAGTTTTGAAGGATAAGGTGTTTGTCCGTACAAGGGCATTCAATGTTGTGCAGTTGTTGGATTTTATCCTCACACGCTTTGAGGCATACTATGAACGTCGCTTCATTGATGTTGCCAACAATCGTCTGGACATGGCGCTCTCAAGGCGCTTTCTCCCAACCAGTTGCAACAATGAAGAGGATAATATAACAAAGATGTCTGAAACTTTGTACAGGGTACAAAGTGAGAGCCAGGAAGATACGACATACTTTGTT